ATGGCAGGGACTGTCAGCACACTATTGTACAACTGTCATTAATCAAAACCAGCAACAATGAGTGCATTCATATATGCCAGAGACTGCCAAATTTCACAATCAGAATCACCCAATTTCTATTAGAATTTCCTCACCAGCAATGTTTTTTCATCTGCTCGCTTTCTCTTTTTTTTTCTCATTTATTAAAGCCAGACCCATTCTAACTGTGACTTGTAGAACAGGAATAATTTTATATGATGTTTTAAAGTGGCTGTTTTGTATCCACACATATAATGACTGCTTATTTAAAAATCCTCTCTCAACTCAGTACTGATGGCTGAAGAGTAAGCTAGAGTGAAAGGTTAAGTACCTTAAACTGTTTAACAAAAGAACTATTTAAAAGCTATTAGATGATAGTAAATACATATAACTACACATTAGGGGCTACACGTTATAGTTAATTTTGGCATCAGCTTGGGCAACAGCCAGTAATATTCAGGTAGTATATTGAAAGGTGTTTCTTGACATTATGCATATTGTACAAGCGTTGGTTGTGACTTCATAGTTAATTAAGATTGAGCTGATTTTTTCCCCTTAACACTGAGATTCAGCCTTTTTGCTATACACGAGTACAATGTATCATCCCCAAATTTACCCTGCTTATTCTCTGAGTACAGAATGAATGTTCTAACACTTTAGAAGTTCATCCCTTAATAAGTTTGAGTTACAATTAATTTTAAAATGGATTCTGTAAGAAATGTAGCATTCACTATCAGACCTTTTTCTGCTCTGAATGATCTTAATAATGGAGTAACCCAGGCCCTACAAACTTTCCATAAAGTTAAAGCTCCTTGAAATCTTATGTATGGGCTACATTTGAAGAAATTATGTTGTAATTAAGCTAAATTATTACTTGTTGTATTTAATTAGATAGGGTTGGGTCAGTGACTGAGGTCATTCTTAACTGGAGCCATGATGGAATCAATCATCATTGCTTGCTAATATTCTATTGGTAGAAATGGGTCAGTGACATGAGGAAGTCTGTGCATGTGTCAAGAGTTTTCACTGATAAATTACTTGGCTGCTAGTTGTCACTGCTCTTAAAAGTTATGTCGCTGTATGCTAGCAAATGAAGGACCAAATTCCCAAGTCTGTGCTGTCTTCTTTGCACTGCTCCAGTTTTTTTTTTTACACACACACACACACACACACACACACACACACACACAGCTTTAAAATTGATGCTACATATCTTCAGTTCACTAGAGATATCACATGGTAGCATTCTCTTTGGGGCTCTAGGTTATTGTTCATATATGACATTTTTAATATTTAAATACTAATTATATACCGTTCATCAATAGTAAGGGACAGAGGTCCAGTTCTCATGTGTTAAAATGGACTATCCCAGAGCCTTCAGAACGTCAAGGTCTCAGCATGGCCATAATTTGGTCAGGTGTGATACTCCAGAGGGTCAATGACATTAATCCAGATGCAGGAGATCTTGCCTGCAAAGTTAAATAATGCAAGCTTTTTATAATAGAAGATACTGGACTTTGGTACTGGGAGAAGGCAGTTTGAATTGGTTAGATTGTTCACCATCCACAACAGTTCCGTGGGATGTGACTTTACAAAGACCGGTTTCAGAGTAGCAGCCGTGTTAGTCTGTATCCGCAAAAAGAATAGGAGTACTTGTGGCACCTTAGAGACTAACAAATTTATTAGAGCATAAGCTTTCGTGGGCTACATCCGAAGAAGTGGGCTGTAGCCCAGGAAAGCTTATGCTCTAATAAATTTGTTAGTCTCTAAGGTGCCACAAGTACTCCTGTTCTTTTTACAAAGACCGTGGTGGAGGAGAAGAAAGATTCAGTGTCACCACCCCTTATTGCACAGGGTCATTTGTGTTGCTGTGATCAGATTCAGAGCCAATTTTCCTTCAGTCTTCTTACCGCCTGCTTCGTCTGTCAAAGTTTATCAATTAACCGTGGTGACTTATGTGGACAGTGTGGATGGAACAGATGACTTGAGGGGCATTGCATCAATGTTTTAGGACACCAGATGGTTGTAATGTCCCACGAGTGCCTCCATGCACTGGTCTAGTTGCTAGATGGCATGCTCTTTCAGGATGGTCCAGAAACCCACTGAGGCCCTGGCGGCTGTGCAGGCAAGAAGGCCTGGACCTCAATTTGAAGTACCGGTAATTGATGATTGGACCTTGATAGAGACATGTTTACTCTACCCTCCATGTCAATACCCAAGTGGGTGATTAAGGTTGTGCTCTAGTTCTGCATTCTGGCATGCCAGGCGGTTGGCTTTTTCACCTAGTAGCCTTTTCACAATCTGCATGATGGACAGGAAAAAGCATAAAGGCTGCTGAGGCTTACAAGGCAGCTGGCTGGCATGCCAGGACCAACACATCCGTGAGACGAAGAGGAGCAAGTCAGCTGCAGCCCACAGCAAACTGCAGAGTTGTGTCCCAGACTGCCTGAATTAAAGTTCAAAGAGTCAGTCAGGCACAGTCCTGCTGCCGTCTGGTTTTAGCCCAGCAGTGGTCAGAGTGCCATTTGGATGTTATCGTTCCTTAAAAAAGAAACAAACAAACAAAAACACTTCAGCAAAATAAACGGCCAGTTGCTGCCCTGCACTGTAGGTTTTTTTCCTACCCTCACCTAATCTCTATGTGGTAGCAAGTCTTAATTTCAGAATATTTTATAGGAACCAAATCTGGCCCCACGTGTCTTACTCCTCTAGAGCTGGCCCTATGTCAAGGAAATACGCATTCTTTCTTGTTTGTAGCAGTTTGTTTGCCAAAGACAGTAGCTTCTCCATCAGTATGGGAAACGGGTGTTGTATTCTTGTGATTTTTATGGAAGTTATTGCTTCCATTTGCCTTTCTCTCCTATGAAAACGGTGATTTCAATTTGTCATTGACTGGTGCAGCACAGTGTGCAAAATTACATAATTCAGTGCAACACCCCAGAAGAAATGTGCCATAATAACTGCATATGGCTTTTAAATGCATATTTACAATAGCTTAGTGCTGCTCAAGGAACGGCGGGCCAGATTCTCTGCTGTCATAATTTTTAACCTCAATGGAATTAAGCCAACAGCAAATATGGCCCTAAATTTCTGGAATACACTGTAGCACCCTCCCGCTTTTCCCTCTGGCATACCATTTATGCATCAGATAAATGTGACAAACTGAATAAAAGTACACCTAAATATGATTCCTAAATACATAAGTGACAAGTACTTATGCACCATCCTGCACACCAGTAGTAGAATGGTTAGCCTCAGTTGTTCTTTTTGTTAATTTTTACATGGCTTCTTACCTAATGAATTTATGGAATATGAAAGGGAACGATCTCAGATCACAATAAAAGGTCTGCAGAATATGAAATAAGGGGATTCTGATTTTTAATTATCCCTGAAACTATTAATTTTAATTGATAATTTGAGCTTTACTTAGCAAAAACTGATCTTTTTACAGTATTTCAGCATGTAGAACTCATGGGTTAATGTTCCAGAAATTTTGTTAGTACACTAACATCCCAGTATCTTTACTATATATTGACTGCATCTATTACAAGTACAAAATAAAAAAGTAATAACAATACATAATAATTAGCACAGAAATTAACATCTGGGGTTCTGAAATGGTTTACAAGTATTAATAACTTCAGCCTCACACTACACAATCTCACAACACTCCGGAGGGAAGTAGCTGAATTATGCTCTGATTCAGCAAAAGATTTACACATGTGCTTAAATCCCATTTAAATTATGCAAGTGCTTAATTTCTTTACTGAATTGGGACCATAATCTCCATTCTACAGATAAGTAAAAGGAGGCAGAGTGCAGTTGAATCACTTACTCAGGGTCACACAGAGCGTCTTTGAAGATCTAGGTATAAGACTCAGCTCCCTCGAGGTCCAGTCTGGTACGTTAGCCTCAAGAGCATCCTTCCCCCTTAGAGTTGACAAATCTGCAACTAAATATTATGGTCAAGATCAGATAATTTCAGGTATAGTAGGGTTGTTACCTCCAAACAGAATGTTTATCCAAGTTCTGTAAAGGGGAATATTTCAGGAGTAAAATATACCTCATAAAAACCTTTGTGGGACTTAGAGTGCCCATTGAAATCATTAAAAGACAAAGCCTCCCATTGACTTCAATGGATCGGTCCCTAAAACAGCCATAATATTTTATCAAGCGAGTGTTTTTCAGGCTGACAGCAATTGAAATCTGAATATCTTTCAGAATTTAAGTTAAAAAAAATTTACAAATGAATGTTCACTGCATACTGAAGTATGCACACTATGCAGATACATTCTGAATAGCTTTAGCCCTAGCATAAGAGTAAGTAACAAGAAAGAGGAAAAAGGGGGAGAAAAATGCAATGAAAATGTTTCTTCTTTGTTAAAAAAAAAGTAAAGCTCCTCTCCCTATTCTGTTCAATTAGTACATTGTGCTACTGGGAAACTGATGTGTGTCTTGCATCTAAACTGTCACTTTGCAAAGCCTGTGTTTACAATGTACATTGTGCATAAATGAGTGCAATGTAATTTCCTGCTCCACCCTCCTACAGGGGCTGACAATTTTACTAAGGACCTGTTAGGGAAAAACTGTTTTCAAAGCAGTAGATGTAAAATATGAAGCTCATGCAGTTAAAGCCATGATAAACCCGAGCTGTCATATATTGATAACTGATGCCTGATAGCTTAATTTTATCATATTGCTCTAGATCAAGGGCAGAGTGAGTGATATTATTAATAAAGCCCTAATACTGAGTGAACATAGCAATACTAATTTTATGGCTGTAAAGTTTTTAACTAATGCATAGTGCAATAAAAATGTCATGAAGATTAATGCCTGGTGGAATTATCTAACTCTAGATAATAAATTATCTTCCCGAGATGTATCCAAGATAGAATCAGATTGGTAAACTCCAGGTGAGAAATTTTGCCATGTATATTGTCAGCTACATAACGTCTTTCCTTTCCCTTATTTCTGTAATGCAGATATGACATCAAAGATGATTACACCTTACGCATTAAAAAGGCCACGAGCACAGACGAGGGAACCTACACATGCATTGCTGAGAATCGAGTTGGAAAAGTGGAAGCCTCTGCTACCCTCATAGTTCGAGGTGAGTGCTACAGTACTTGAGAGAGTGTCATGTTTCAGTGTCACATTCCGACACAGTGGGCCATATCCTCACCTGGAAGTGATGCAGGCCGGGCCACCACTTCCCGCAGCTCCCATTGGCTGGGAATGGCAAACTGCGGCCACTGGGAGCTGCGAGCGGCCATACCTGCAGATGCTCAGGTAAACAAAGCGTCTCGCGGCCAGCCAGGGACTTACCCTGAACTAGCCGTGAACCAAGTTTGGGAACCCCTGGCCTAGATCCATCACAGCCAATGGTGCTATACTGATTTTCACCAACAGTGAAATCCTGGCCCCATTGAAGTCAAGGGCAAAACTCCTATAATGGGACAAAAATTTCACTCCAGCTGAGGATCTGTCCCAGGATTTGTAACTGAAAGCACAAATTCGTATGTATGTGTGTGTCTAGTTGTAGGTTTTATTTTATCCGTTAGTAGACTGTTTTTTCATGTTCCTTTCTGTAATAAAATTAGGAACAACTTAAGTCAATGTATATTTATTTTATTTTTTAAATTTTGAACATTTCATAATGGAGCCTTCTGCCATTTTTTTTTCACTTGACAGACTAGCACCATCCCAAGAAATAAGAGACTTGGTTAAGTATAATAGTTAAAGCATAACCTTTTCCTCTGAAAATGTCTTTGGACACTGGTACCCACCTATTGTTTACATCGTGTAGTTGGATGTAGTGAGGAGGTTTAAAATCCCAGCAGCCTAATGAGTTTTTAGATAGTACTTTGTGACAGTACATACGGAGATGTTAAATATGGAGAGAGAGAAAAAATATGAAAATGTATTTCCATAAGATTAAATAAAATATAGTAGTTAAAATATTTTGTTATTTTGTTCAAAAAAGATAAGCTGCAATTTTGATACAATGGGTATCACACAGACACTATTTCACAGTTTACTGGTGCATGATGAAGGTTTTCAGTAGAGCTGTGAAAGGTTAATAAAAACATTTTTAGCTTCATCTTCTCTTTTTTTCTTCCCCCCCCCCCCATAGCCATTAAATCAAATGTTCAAAATCTCTCTGGATTGCTTTATTAGAACAGGGGTCAACTGACCCAAGAGGCCGACTTCCATTTCCATCCATTTAATGCATGGACACAGTTCAGTTTAATTTGCTGAATTCAAAGAAAAAAAATCACCCAGTGGCTTTGCAAGGGGGGAGATGTTAGGTCAGTATATAACAAAGAAACGAGAGTATTGTGATAATCCATCTGCTAAAATATTGCCATAATGTCACTTTAGATAATAAGTGATAATGTGGCTTTCTTGATGTAATCTGAACATGGCTTTACTTGCTATTTGTTTGTGATGAGGATTATTCTTCCATTTTGTAATTTGATAAAAATAGGCACAAGAATTAACTCTCAAAAAGTGTACACTTCCTTTGTCACGAAAAGAATCAAATACCCAATAAATCTGGCCATCAGTTTAGTGGCCTTAAATTCTCCTAGAACTGTGTCCATTGTATACATTATTGGGTCAAGCCTTTCTTTTTACTAGCCTAGCCTTGTGATACGAGCAATGACTAGAACAAAGCAAAAATCCTTTGAACTCATTGGAGCCTGAACTTGACCAAATTAAGGTGGAAAAAGGAAATATATAATTTAATCGATTTTCCTACACTCAAGAAGATTTCCCATTATCTTTTTCCTTGGCTTTATAATCTAAAGGCCATAGGCAGAGTGTTTATTCAATACAAAAGAAGCCACTATATTACAAGCATATTAAACATTCAGGATGTGACAGAAAATGAGAAAAGCTAAGAAATTCAATGTTGAATGCTTGGCACTCTAGGCTCTTGGGAAACAAGGAACCCCTAGCTAAACTTCCTTTGACTTCAAAGGGATCAGGATTTGGTCCTATTTTAATTAATGAAGGTCTTAACCCTGAATTACCAAACTTTTGTCAGCTTGTGTCATTACTGTATTTAATATAAAGTTATTATTTGAAATTACCTTACTTTCATCATATTCACTTTGTCCCATGAAAAGCGGGGAAACAACTCACATGCTTTAGAATTCACTGTGTGGGGTGGCCCTAGTCCTGTGTAACTTACGTGTCCATTGGAAACCCAGTTCTGAAGTTACGTGTGCATGTGCACACACATACGCAACCTGCCTGCCACAGCTTAATGCCCAGCTCGCATCCATGGCTCCATTTGACCTCATTAGCCACAGGTGATGGCAGAATTTGAATTCCCTGACTGAACCCTCAGCCCTGTGGTTGGGAAGTTGCAGTTTTGTCCTACCTCTTGTCTTTCCCGTCCATGAAAGGGGAGGATATTTCATATTACCAAAAGCCATGGAACCTAACAAAGAGAGGAGGGGATGGAGGTTGCTATGCGCTGAAGTGTGTAGCAGATAGGAAATGGTTAAAAAGAGTGGTTGTTATGACAGTGCAGGGCTCAGGTCATAGGAGGGGTGAAAACTGAATAGGCCCTGAACATGTTACTTTACATGGGGGCTCTTCAAAACATAGGTTTGACCCTGGTCTCTGAGCCTAAATGAGCAAATGAAACTGGTTGCTAATAAAGTCTTGTAGCTCCTCGGTGGGTAGCACTCATTCTATTGCTAAAATAAGGTAAGTTTCATCTTCCCAGGTTTTAACCTCAAGTGAATTTTCTGTCCAAATGTTAAGCTCCTCTAAAAGGGATGTCTGTATTTTAATAACAGCAGCCCTGACAGCCCTCTCCCCCAACTCAAGTGCAATGAAGGGCTACTACTATAATCAAGAAATCACTTGTTGCAGCAACTGCTTTCAATCTCAATATCAGTTGAAGCAGAATTAACCTGTCAATCATTCAGCAGCAATTTTTTAGGAAGTAGAAGTTTATCTAAGCAGTAATTTGGGAGGCTCTGAATTGAAATCCCTGTGGCCATTCCAACCTATTTGTTATATTTTCATCAGCCCTGTCAGTGAAGAAAAAGTGATGTGCTGTAAGCTTTCGTGGATAGGAAAAATGGTGTCTTGGGCTTTTCTCCAGCTCTTACTGCAGTACTGACTGGCCATGCTTAAAATTCAATTGGTATTTAAATCAGACAGTGATGCCTTTCATTTATTGGCATGACATTTGCCAGTCTGTGGCTTGAATGGATGTATTCATCTGGGCCTAGAAGTTTGTGCTAATGCAAAGCTATTTTACTTCAATCAAGCATTAACAGTGATACTTGATGACGACATATGAACCTATCAAAAATGTTTCTCAGATGATTGGTTCCAGCCAGCTTATTCAGAAGCTGTGTAACTACTGTCTCCAAAAAAATGTAATAACAATAACTCTCAATTAAACAGTAAAGCCGGGCATCTTACTTTCACTGACATTTGTGAGTTTAGAGATCGCTGGAGTGTCCATAGTTAAATGTAACATTACACGTCATGCATTCTGACAGATTTTCTTTTCTTTTTTTTTTTAATTTCTTTTTTATGTTCTCACCACACCATTGTAATGTCTACAGCTCGCCCTGTTGGTAAGTAACCATCCTTCTATCCATTTTCGCACAGCTTCATGCAATGCTTCATCTTTCATTTGCAGCAGCATTTAACTGACTTAAACACAGTTATTAATGACCAATGCTTAATAGTGCTAACTTTCTAATGCTAGCCAACTGATTTTGACTGGGCAAGAAGTGCTATCTCTGAATTTGTTATTACTTCTAGAATATCATATGTAATGGCATTTGCCAAATCACTAACAAATAAGCAATTATATCACAGAGGGGTGGGGTGTTAATAAGCCGAAATTACTAATAGGATAATTCTTAACAGTTTGTGGATGTGTGTTAAGGGCTTGGTACAAAGGCCATTGAAGTCAATGAAAAACTCCTATTGACTTCAAATGGCTTTGGATCAGGCTCTAAATAAGCAGCCCATTATGTTTTTTTCCTGATGTAAGAAAAGAAGCACACACTTTGCACATCCTGTGTCTTTTGTACCTGTGTAAAATCTTTGAAACAATATAGTCGATTATGCCCCGTTCTTGAATTGAAGAGAGGATGGAATGGACTCCCCTTCCTGTTGGGGCAGTTCATCGTCCTTCTGTATAAAGCCTGCCATAACTGATTTTTATTCCTGGATCATAATTCTTCTTTTAGAGTGTAAGTTTTGCCTTTGGAGTGCACAAGATGGCCGCAAATGAAAATATTGTGCATGCTAATACAATGTGCATAGGAAGGCTGGTCCTGGATCACCATCTGCACTTTGAATCCCCCTTCAGAAAATTCAAATCCTGGTAATTTCTTTCAAAACTTTCATTAAATTTGAAAGATTGAGCAAAATGAAAAGGAAGCTTGTCACTCACTAAAACTTATTCTTGTACTGAAAACTATTCCAAGGAAATACATTTTCTTTTTGTTATTTTCATTAATGGCTGTGCATTCCATGCTCAGGGGGATTTGCTAGACATTTTTTTCCAGATAAATTACTATTGTGAATGTCATTGTTTGTAGCTCTGTTGTTTTTTAGAATAATGATTTCATTGTTTTAGCCTTTTATATAAAGAATTGTCTTCACTGCAGTGTCAGCTCGAGTTATCTATACTCAAGTGTAGCTCAAGTGAGAGTGGTGAGACAGCAATGGATTGTTTGTATTAGCAGCACAGAGTAGTTGAGTCCCCACTGCACTTAGCAGCACTCGAGCTTCCACCAACACCTCTTGATGGGCCAGCGAGCTTAAGGTTAAAGCACCACTTCACCTGAGCTACAGATTTTTGTGTGTGTATGGGCGTTGGTTAGGGACGACACTTGAGTTATATCTCGAGCTAATACTGTGGTGAAGACAAACCCTTAGTATCAGAAATTAGGGTTTAGTTAATAAACACTCCTGAAAGGTACAATCCTTTACTCAGGCAAAATTCTCATTAGCGTTGCACCTGAGTAAGGTGTGTAGGGTTTGACATTAAGTTTGTATACACAATTTGGAATTTCTTAAGCTGACTCTGAGCCTGATTCTCACAAATGATATCAATTAAAATAAATGGAATTACACTACTGTGAAAATGGAGTAAAGTTGCTGTGAACTGGGCCCTTTGTTTGAATGTGACTCAGGCCTGGTCTACACTAAAAAAGTTAGGTTTACCCTGCTATGTCACTCAGGGGTGTGAAAAATTCACAACTCTGAGCAATAGTTAAGCTGATCTAACCCCCCCTGTGAAGACAGCGCTAGGTTGATGGAGGTTAGAAAAGCACTACTAATAAACAATAAACACCCACATTTTAGTTCAGTGGGAAAGCCAGTACAAGAAAACAAACATTTTGTTTTGGAAAGCTTTCTTTTTTCTCGCCCTTAAAAGAGAAGGAAGAAAAAATTCATAAGCTAAGGCTCTTTGGGTTCTATAAAGGCCACATTAAAAAAAATTTACAACGAAAGTAATAGACTTTTGCTGTGTCGATGCTTCATATTATTTCAACACGTTGATCCTCTGCTTTTGAATTCTTTAGATCTTAGGGCAGGGGTCGGCAACGTTCGGCACGCGGCTCGCCAGGGTAAGCACCGTGGCGGGCCGAGCCAGTTTTATTTACCTGCTGACGCGGCAGGTTCGGCCGATCGCGGCCCCCACTGGCCGCGGTTCACCGTCCCGGGCCAATGGGGGCGGCGAGAAGCGGCGCGGGCGAGCGATGTGCTTCCCGCCGCCCCCATTGACCCGGGACCCGGTGGGGGCTGTGATCGACCGAACCTGCCACGTCAGCAGGTAAATAAACTGGCCCGGCCCGCCAGGGTGCTTACCCTGGCGAGCCGCTTGCCAAACGTTGCCGACCCCTGTCCTAGGGTGACAATTCCAGCTCTTAAGCTTGTACTGAATCTCCTGATCTTAAGTTATTCTATTTCCAAGCACATGACTCCTTCATAAGGGTGCACTCTGGTCATCTTTGTGTTTACCACACTAAAATTGTTTTATTTTGTTACAAGTAGTCATGTGGTACAAAGAAAATGTCTCCCTTATTTGACGTACTGAGATGGCCATAAAATAGAGTGGGTTATTTTAAAGTAATTATTGTTTAGTACAGTATTTGTCATATTATTTAATTCGCTGAGAATAATGTACAAATATCAGCCCTAATCATCTGGGTGGTGAGTTGTATGGGCCCGTGCGGCCCAGGCTCCAGCAATATTCAGGGCCCAGGGGCCCTGCTCCACCAATGTTTGGGGCCGGGTCTCTCCCCCGGCCCCGCCTGCCGCCCCTCTGCACCTGCCCCGAGTGTACCCCGGCCCCCACTTGCTGCCCCCTCACCTCCCACGGACCCAGAGCCTGCAGCTCATGCTGACTCTGCTCTGCCGGCTCCCGGCATCAACTGCTGCCGCAGGGTCCTAGTGCCCCCCATCCACTAATGGCAGGGCAGGCTGCCCTTACCCTGCCCTTCCGCCCTAGCCCTGAGCCTCTCCAACACCCCAAATCCCTCAACCCCAGCCCCAGCCAGAGCCCTCATGCCCCCACACCCTAATCCTCTACCCCAGCCCTGAGCCCCCTTCTGCATCATGAACCCCTCATCCCCACCCCACAGCCCTCACCCCACACCCCAACCCTCTGACCTAGCCCTGAGCCCCCTCCCACACCGCAAACCCCTCATCCTCAGCCCCACAGCCCTCACTCCTGCACCCCCACCTATCCCCAAACTCCCTCCCAAAGCCTGCACCCCCTCCCCCTTCCCACACACCCCTCCTGCCCCCAAACTCCCTCCCAGAGCCTGCACCCCTCACCCCCACCCCAGCCCAGAGCCTGCACCCAAACTCCCTCCCAGAGCCTGCACCCCAGCCTTCCGCACTCCCTCCCAGAGCCTGCACCCCTCACCCCCTCCTGCACCCCTACCCCTTGCCCCAGCCCAGAGCCTACACCCAAACTCCATCCCAGAGCCTGCACCCCCCCACCCTCTGCCCCAGCCCAGAGCCTGCACCCAGCACCCAAACTCCATCCCAGAGCCTGCACCCCAGACCCCCTCCCAGAGCCTGTACCCTGCACCCCTCCTGCACCCTAATCCCCAGCCCCAGCCTAGGGCCTGCACACCAGACTTCTTCCCCCCCACTCAAACTCCCTCCCAGAGCCTTTGACAGGTGGGGGGCAGAGTTTCGGGTGGACAGAGTTGGGGGCGGGGTCTGGGCACCACCAAAATTTCTACAAACCTGCCACCGCCACTAATCATATCAGATGTAAGGAACTACCAAGCAAATTTACTGTAGTAGTGGTTGTATATTGCTTGATTTTTATCATTCATGTATAACTGAATAACTTTACAAGAAGTCTCAACAACAGCAACAAAATACTTTCCCCACAATACAATATATGCAATTACTGTTCTGGAGGTGGGCCAGATTCACATGGTTCAGATCTCCATTTCACCAAGTTTAGTAAATTCACATCAGGGATTTGGGTCAAGCCAATCTCTACCAACTGTCAGTAAAATTATAGGTTATGATAAAAGGTAATGGTACTGTTGATTTCTTAATGTTAAAATACCTAGACCTCTCCTACAAACATATGGCTATTTTTAATAGTGGTATATTTGCATGTAAAAGAACAACAACAGCTGCATGCAGTGTAGAATTTGAAGAATTTTGTTCTTTCATCCCATTCATGTACCAGAAGAGGTTCTAGCACTCTTTATTTCTGCTTATGCTTCAGGAGAAAAGCATCTTTTAAAAAAAACCTGGACAACAAAACCAGGATATTATTTAATGGAATGTTCCTTGAAATGCAAAAGAGGAGGAATTGTAATGCTCAAAGAGAATGTCATTCTTATTGCAAAATGAGTACTTTTAATTTTCAATTCATTTTTTTCCATGATAGTTTCAAATATTTATTTATTGAATTTATTTTTAACAGTTTTGTTTAAACTTCAGATGAAGTAGAAAAATTCAGGGCTGAATTGTTTTTGTTGCTCACCATCTTTTGTTCAAGCAGCTAGTAGCATATAGTATACAAAAATGAAGCATGGTACTGCCTGAGGTGGATGGCAGCTTGTGAATTTTTAACAGTTCTTTACCAGATTACTCATCATGTTGTGATTTGCTGCTTGAAATAAATGTGTTGTCAATCTCCCAAATAGATGTTCTCTTTATTTATAAGCTTTTGAAAGATTTCCTATAGGAGTTACAACAGATGGGTTTAGGAAGCAGGATATTTATCCCTATTTAGGCCATTTACTTCTGTTATTTCACTCATCAGATGCATTTTCCAGATGAACAAGTTAATATTTTCACACATTTTCATTTTGCTCTCTTTCTTATGGCAATCACACATTAGAATAACTATGAAAAGCCACCACCAAAGTTGGATGGAGCCAAAAAGATTCATCAATCCTACAAAAAAGTATCATTGGCCCAGTCTTCAAAAGTAACTGCTAAACTGTTTTGCCTGAGATGGAAAACTTAAAATTAAGTTCAAAAAGAAGAAAATCAACTATGTGTCTGATGCTTCTGGTTACCAGCCTTTTTTCCTGATCACTCAGTAAGTCACTTCAGATTAAAAACAGTACTC